ACACACACACACACACACACACACACACACACACACACACACACACATTGATATATCCATGACATTCATCCAGCATGATGGAATAAGTCTGAAGAAGAATCTACATTTTGTTTTTCCATTTCCAACACACAAACAGAGCCATACTGCTGTTTTGATTTCAGCATATGTATCCTGATGCATGCTCAATAATCCAGGTAGAAAAATCTAACAAAATTGTGTCCTCTGGACGGAATAAAAAAAACAAACAAATAAATTAAAAAATTAAAAATGTGTCGAAACGTTTCGTCTTTATTCCAAAGGACTTTGTCAGTCTGAGCAGAACTGCAATAACCTCAGTTTTATAAATAGCACCTTCTCATAGTGGGTCAACCAGTTACTTGTTGCCATCCAGAACCAGCTGTTCACATGATCAAGGAGGACCATCAGCCTAACAACTGGTCATTAGTGCCCTGATGGATGTTTACTATTCACAGGAGGTTGAGTGATACTAGCAATCACAGCATTGTAAGAGGGGGACAGTTGAACCCGGAGGCCTCCACCCCTGTTTAATGATGGACGATTTCTTCTCACAAAGATGGCCTCCTTTACTCCTCTCTCAAACCATCGTTCCTCTCTGTCCAGGATGTGAACATCTTCATCCCTGAAAGAGTGACCGCTGGCCTGGAGATGAGTGTAGACCGCAGAGTCCTGGCCTGATGGTGTTGATCTTCTGTACTGGTCCATCCTTTTGGCCAGTGGCTGTTTAGTTTCCCCGATGTAAGACTGATCACAGCCCTCCTGACACTGAACAACATACACAATATTACTCTGTTTGTGCCGGGGGACTGGATCTTTGGGATGAACCAGTTTTTGCCGTAATGTATTTTGGGGTTTAAAAGCCACTGGGACATTGTGTTTAAAAAATAGACGTCTCAGTTTCTCTGAAACTCTCACAACATACAAAATGACCACTGGTCTGGGTTCCTCCTTTTCACCTGAGTATATTAACAACAGTCTCATACCTACTGTAAATGTGATGACATTGCTGGCTAAATGAGTGGGAATGCACACAGACCGCAGTGCAAAACCATGAAAATATTGAATTATTTTGTAACTGACATTTGCATAAAAAAACGAGTTCATAAAATATCATCAATCAGGCCCAGTACCTACAATACCATGTACTTTTACTAATCTACATTTAAATTGATAATTGTAATGGTATCTTTCAAATATAATTATTTTTATTTCCATTCCTTTTAATAGCTTATAAAATTAACCATTTTTCTCTGTCTGCTGCCATGTTGTGCTGACATTCCTTTTAAAAATCATTGTGAAATTACGATATTCCCCATTTTATCCAGGAAGTGATCCATTTAAAATTAACTTGGGCATTTTGTCAAATTTAAACATGGTACATTAATATTTACTGGTACTGTAGAGATTTAAACCTATCAACTTAAACATCACATTTATTGGGGTAGGCATCGTCCTTCTTCTAATTTATTGTTATTCAGCACAGAACATTCTTCAAATGTACACATGCAACATTATCCCATAACACATTTACAAAAATTAACGAGGCTTTCCAAAAAACATGTCTGCATGTAAATGTTTTGCTTTATACCAGGTACAGTACATACTGTATTATATTTATTGTCCTCTCTAGTGAGTTGCCACCAAAAAAGAAAATATTGTACTTCCCCAAAACATTATCTGATTGTTCAAAACTCCAGCTGCATGTCAAATTTAAGGTCTCCTAATGTTGCATGTCACCACTTACTCACTGAATTATGGCTGTTGGAAAAAGATTCAAAATGGCAAGGAAATTGCAATATGGTGCAGGGCAGCCGACTCGGGACCCGAAGGTTCTGGGTTCGATCCCCAGTCATTACACATCTCGTGGTGTCTCTGAGCAGGACACCCAATTCCAAATTGCTCCCTGGGCGCCTACATAGCTGCCCATTGCTCCACCGGGGTGTATCCCAGGTGCAATGGGTCAAATGCAGAGAACCAATTTTGTCTTTGTATGGGAATGCTGACAACACATAGCATTTCATTATTATTAATAATAAGATGACAGATTTTCTGTTGCTGTTTTAGCAGATTCTACGTGTTTGTGATTAAGTGACAGGTAAGCATGCAGACTCATTCCAATCAACATGTTTTGCTACTGGACACAATAAGTACAGTGGGATGGTCTGCATTGAATGAATTATGCTCCCCACATTTATGTCATATTGCCCCTTTCTTTGTGTGGCTTCCTATTTACTGTAAGTTAATGTAGTTTGTAAAATATTTCTCTTTTTTTTCTTTGTGCACAGGACAACACCCCTTTTTTTTCCTTTTTAGTAACAAATTAACTTTGTTTTTTTTTAATTACTTGGTACTTTTGCCTGACTAGCTTTTTACACAGGTGTAAAAAGCATGTACTTAACTATAATATTCTTTTAGTATTGTATAAAGCTCAGAAGTACACACTACCTTCAAACATTCAAACGTATTTTGTAAAAAGGAAAAGTTGCTATAATCTTAAGGGAACAGACATTTTTGTTAAACCACAGTACAGAACCAGTTTAAAGGGGCGGTCTACTTCAATTCAGGGAATAGGTCTGTGGAATAGTTTGGAAAACGATGTAAAAAAAAGTAAAGTCAATGCCTATATTTAAGAAAATGATTAAGATTAACATTTTGGAAAGATACATGTAAAAACGTAAAATTGTGATGAGTTATTTATTTTGTTATATTACTTATAGATGATTATTGTTTGAATTGATTTTGTTTTAAACAAGGGGCAGATATGATAAGATGTTTTCTTCTTCTGCTACCTTTCATTTTATGACGTGTGTTTTCTTTTCATTTGGTTTCTAAATTGTTTTTGTGTTTTAAATATGAAATGAATAAAAATGACAAACAAACAAA